TATATATATATATATAGTTTTTAAAGACAGTAGATTTATAAAACAAACTCATCACACAGTTTATATTCGATTTCTAGCATTCGTACTCGAGGTCATAGTGCGATAAATTCACTTTCTCTTGAAACTTGATCCTTCACGACCAGGAAGAAGATTTGCAACGATGAACGATAATTGACTTTATGACTGTTATTGCATAACTTTCAAAATATTATTAAACTAACATCAAATGTTTTTATTCCAACTCCATTATTTTATTTTTAAATATTTTCATTTTATTTTCCTCTTTTTTTTTTTTCACTGGAAACGTTTTAATAAAATCGATTTTCTTGATGTTTATACATTTGTGCAATATATTATTGTTATTATTTAATAATAAATGTATGTAATGTTATATATCATACGTCAACTGAGATATGTAATTTTAGAATCGTGTAAATAATAGTATTTCTAAAGATTTTGTAACTTTTCTCAACGATTACCCAAACATACACTTGTCCCCAATTTTTTCATTTTTTTCTTTTTTCTTTTGCAATCACATCCTTCGAAATTACAGTTTTAACTTTCAACAAATTTCTCTTACTTATTTAATAAACATATACAAACCTGTTATTGATTATTGCTAAATTGCAAATGTTTATGTACGAAAAAATATACAGTAGAACAGTATGTACAATAAATACGACACGTAATATACTTGATATTAAATATATTATATATTTATATACATTCGTCATATATAAGTTTCAATTTTTATTATTATCTAAACGTTTGATATTTTTATTAAATATATTATATTTAAATATCAAGTATATTACGTGTTAAATATTGAGAATGCAATATTTAAATATTAATAAACATTTTGTAATTATTACGTTGTATTATTCTTAGAATTATAATAAATTGTAACTATGTTTTTTTCAGGTTTTTAAAATGATCTTTAAAACCTGAAAAAATCAATAAGATCAATGATTGTATTTGTTTTTATTTTGTATTAATTCTTATTAATCATAATAAACCATTTTTTTTTCAGGTTTTAAAATGATTTCTATTGGGTTGTCCAGAAAGTTCGTGCCGATTATCGGTAGATGGCACACAATTTGTTTCCTGAAAAAAAAACCTGAAAACTTCTGGAGGGACGAACTTTTTAATTTAACCTTTAAGATGAAAAAAGGTTATGGAACAAAATAGCACTTGTATATATAATTGAATAAATATATACTAAAAAAAAAAAAAAACTTAAATGTGTTGCATTTCAATCTTTCGTCAAAATCGGCACGAACTTTCCGAATAACCTAATAAAACCTGAAAAAAATCAATGAAATTGATAATCGTATTTGTTTTCTTTTTTTATTAATTTTTATTAATCATAATCAACCATTTATTTTCAGGTCTTAAAATGATTTCTAAAACCTGAAAAAATCAATGAGATCAATGATTGCATTCATTTTTATTTTGTATTAATTTTTATTAATCATAATCAACCATTTATTTTCAGGTTTTAAAATGATTTCTAAAACCTGAAAAAATCAATGAGATCAATGATTGCATTTGTTTTCTTTTTTAATTAATTTTTATTAATCATAATCAACCATTTATTTTCAGGTTTTAAAATGATTTCTAAAACCTGAAAAAAAATCAATGAAATTAATGATTATATTTGTTTTATTTTGTATTAATTTTTATTAATTGTAATCGAATAAATAAATAAAATAATAATAAAGTGAACGTACGATTTCTAAGATACGACGAGAGTAAATAATTATCTATGAGTACTTTCCACTTTGGAAAATGATTTAGGACGTAGAAAGGATTTTACGATGCACCGAGTGACAAGCAGTATAATCATCAAAGTATAATCATCAAAGTATAATCATCAAAGGTAGGACAGACAGGATGTAGTGTATGAAAATCGATTAAGTATGAATCGTATAAATGTGTGTGTATGTGTGTTGTACATAAAGTAAATGATGTGTCTTTCTTTCTTTCTCACATACATACCCATACACATATATTTATAGTAAACGTATATTTATTATGTATGCACGTGTATGCAAATGTAAGTAAATGTATATATAAGTATATGTGTAGTTTAAAATCTGTGAGAGAGAGAGAGTGAATAAGTGTATATGTGCAGATCGTGCACAACTAAATTGCAGATATCCCCGGTGCATTCTGGCGAGAAATTTGAAAAAAACGATGCACCGTAAAAAAGAGAAAAAGAAAAAGAAGAAAAAGAAGAAGACTTTCTTTCTTTGGAAAATTCTATTATTCGCATCGGTAATTTCGAAAGGTTAGTCGAGTCTCTGTTTAAATGTTTCATATCCTGTAACTTTCTGAAATATTCAACAAAATGATTTATCTTATCGATTTATCTTATCTATTTTCCTAACATTTTTTTCTCTATTTTTTACAATGATTTGTTTCTCATTATTTTTTTAAAAATAAAATTAAATAAAGATCAATTATAAAAAAAAAAAAAACAAATACAAAAGGAAAAACTTTTCGTTGGATAGAATCCAACGAAATTTAACTAATTAAATTAATTTAAATAATTTTATATAAATATAACAAAATAAATTTAACTAATTACATTTATTTAAAAATTAAATATATATTTTAATTTATTAAAAAAATAAATATATATTTATACTAGGGGTGCCCCGTCATGCGTTGCTGTGGCTCAAAATCAGCAACGAATTACCTTATACCGCCATCTGATAGAATCTTATCGAACTAACAGTGATAATCATGACTCTTTGTTAATAAACAAATAATTCGCGATTAATAAAATAATATTGCGATTATAAATTGAGATATAAACTATCTTATATTTCAAGTTGGATGAAACTGCACATAGTGTGCAAAATTTTAGTAAAATCGGTTCAGTTGTTTAGGAGTCCATTGCGGACGAACAACGTGACACGTAATTTATATATATTAAGATATATAATACAATAAATTTTACTAATTAATTTAAATAATTAAATTTAACTAATTAAATTCATTTAATTAATTATATATATATATATATTTTATAACTAATTTTTCTAATTTAAAATTTAAATTCCAACAATATTGAAATCCAACGATAGTTAATTGCACAGGTGGTAATATGATTTTTAATATTAATAATTTCCAAAGTCATCTAATTTCTAACAAAATTTATAATACAATAATAATTGACGAACTTTCATAATTAATTGAATTTAAATCATTTTCAAAATAAAATGGCTCCACTATAATACGTTCATTTATTTTTTAATTACTTTAACGCTTTCTTCAAGTATTAATTCGTATAAATAAAAAGTATTCTGCGAACAACAACAACAACAACAACAAAAACAGGTCTCTGTGTAAGATATAAAAAAAAAGGAAGAAAAAGGAAGAAAAAGAAGATAGACAACGTCTTAACTTCGAACGGGGTAACAATACAGTTACTTTACGGAGAGAAAATCTTTTCAGAGAACATTCACCTTGCTTTGGCTTTACTTTGCTGTACTATGTAAGCTATGTATAGTATTATATTGATGGAGGTAGTAGTAGTAGTAGTGGTGATGGTGTTGTTCATCGTGTTGGTGAATGCAACGGGCAACCCACTTTCCGTTGTGGTACGTAAGTAGTAAGTAAGTAAGTAAGTAAGTAAGTAAGTAAGTAAGTAAGTAAGTAAGTAATGTACCTTTCCAACACGAGTTTCGTGAAAAATACAAAATGCCAGTATTCTTTATAATACCTCAAATCATTTACTTGAGTTCAATCATTTTTCTAAATCCTTTTCTCAACTCACTTCAATGATATTAGGTAGACCAGAAAGTAATGTCGCTTTCTAACCTTAAATTCAAACGAATACATTTCTAACAAATTTATATTTTTAATCAATAACATAATCAATTTTGTTATCAATAACCTTTTTTTTTTTATTTAGTATGCAAATTTTTAATACAGGACCGATAAAGTCAATTAATTTTTAATTAAAATATAAAAATGGACATATACGTGGAAACGACATTACTTTATATTTCTAAATAATTAGAAATTTTTAATATTAATAAATTATTCATATTAAATCATTATTAATAATTTAATATTTCTAAAATTTAATATAATATTATAATATATTATAATTAAATTATTATAATTTAATTTTATAATAATTTATAATATATATTATATATTATATATAATAATTTTATATAATTATAAAATTTAATAAATATTAATATTATAAAATTTAATATAATAATATAATATTCCTAATATTTTTAAATCTTAAGAATTTATTTATTTAACAAACTTATATCACTCGTTAAGCTACTTTTAATTTATTATAACCACTTTCGTACTTATTGCGAATTATAATATTAGTGTAAAGAATTTATTTAGTTGTTGTTTTGATTCATTAATTCTATGGTTGCCATATTTATTTTTTATTTTACTTTATTTTTCTTTCTTTCTGTTCTTAACACATGATTTTATTTTTGTTTTAATTTCTACCACACTGTATAGCTATAAAACGTTTACTTTGTTAAAAACAGAAATTAGTTGTAACCTGTACTAAGAATAAATTACTTAAGATAAATATTCTTCTCAATAGAATAATCAGGAAACGTAATAAAACGATAATGATGATTACGTTGGTATAATTAATGTCAAGGTGACCAATCCTTGGATATCTTCTTTTCAAAATCTCATCAAGGAAGATACCATTTGTTTCCTTTTAAATGCCAATTTCATCTCTTGTGTGTAAATTCTTACAACGAGTATATTTATTTTTAGTTAAAAAAAAAAAAAAAAAACATATTATTAAATACTATTCAATGATTTTGTCATTAGTATAATAACAATTTGTAAAAGTATCTTAATTAGTATAATATTATCAAGTTGTTGTTATTTCCTTTCACTTTTGTACTTTTTTGATAAACTTAAACAAATGACTAGCAAGAATTTTAGAAAATAAAATTGCAACAGGAAATGGCAAACAGGAAGAATGTAATTATCGATTTTTTTTCTATGCTTTTTTTCTTGAAAAACTGGTCACGTGTAATTAATCTGATTAAGGTAATTCGGAAGTAGATATATTCCAAAAGAGATAAATAAGAAAAAAAAAACAACAAATTAAAAAATTGTCGTATCGTAACAACTTTTCACTAACATAACCTAAGTAAAAACTCGTTCGATTGATATTTATTTCATTATTTTCTAACGACAAATAACTATATATATATATATTTGTATGGAAAGTAATATTTTTAAACTTCATTTAACATTTTACCAATAAACATTTTAAACTTGATTCAAAATTTCCTTGTAATTTACATTTCAAAATAAATCGAGTTAATATATTTCTATTCAAACAAATTTCTTCCATTTTTTAAAATTTACTTTAAGTTTATTATTCTTAAAATTTTATTAATTAATATAGTTATTATATTAAATAATAAATTATTAAATTTATTAAATTTAAATTAAATATAATAATAATAAATATAATTATATATTATTATTTCATATATTATTAATATATAATATATAATAAATATATTATATATTAAATATATAATAATAAATATAATTAAATGTTAAATTGTTAAATGTATTAAATGTAAATTAAATTTATTAAAATTATTATATATATATATATATATTAAATAAATTATATAATAACTAAAATAAATTAAATAATTAATTATATAATATAACTATAATAAATTTAATATCATAACTATACAAGTATATATATGTATATATTATAAATTTCAATATAAGTATAATTTATTGGCATAAAAATTAGCAATAAATAATTTTAATGTACAAAACATAGTAATAACAAAATAACTTATTTTCCAATTATTATTTTACTTATTAATAATCGATTCCTATTCATCACATATAACCATTATTTTCAAATAATATATATATATTTATTTAATTTATTATACTTCATTTATAATTTAAGTTTCATCAATATGCCATTTCCGGTTTTATTTCGAAGTACTCGATAGAAAGTAAGATCAACTTACGAGACGTGAGTTGCGGAAGATTCATCGATCGTTTGTAACGGTAATGCATACATACATACACATGTATACTTATTTTACATGTACATAAATATAT